TATTTCCAATCTAATGACAGGCGAAGTTTAAAAAATCACAGCTTAATTTAAAAATTAAACAGGTCTTAAATATACAATATGAAAAAAAAAATGGCCACTTAGAGTGTGCATTTAAGACAACCTTGGCTCCTTTCTCCAAGTCCTGATATCACAAGTTACAGCTGGCTGGAAAAGTGGGGGAAGAGACATATGTGGAGGTAACTGTTGAGCCTCTTAAAATATACCTTCACCTTTCCCTCCTGTCTGAGAGAGAAAGGAAATTTTAGGCGGGAAGCACCAGGGAAGCACCCCTTACTTCCAGGCACCCTTCCTCCTCAGGGACGCAAAGCTTTCCTTTCAAACCTTCTCCTATCCCCTCAACCAACCTGCCCCACTTTCTACCCATTTTGTGCCCTCCGCTTTTCCTCCCCTTTGCCACCTGCTTGGGCATTGCTCAGCTCCTCTCCTTCATGGTGTTTTATTTATTTCATTTTTCCCCCTGGTGAAGAAGGGAAATGCCATTTCCGCCCCTGACTTTCCCTTTGACAGGCAGCCAAAGCCCCCTCCTCATGGGAGCCTTCAGGCATGCCCTGGGCCCAGGCTGACCAGGTGTCCTCAATGCCAAGGAGGACCAGGCACTGCAAAAGGTAGGGACCTTCCAGGGGGAAAATATGGAGGACATAACCAAAGAAATATTCAGTTCCTGATTCTCAGCCATGCTCCAAATGGAAGACATTGTGAAATTCCTCCAGGACAGGAGGCTGAAATGGAGGACATGCTAAATAAATGTGAATGATGCTCCTTCGCCATGCTCCAAATGAAGGAATTCCTCCTGGAGGCCAAAATGGAGGACATGTCCGGGAAAAGGAGGGCCCCTGTTCACCTTGAGCTAGAAATACACCTTTAAATATTAAATTCCCGCTTCCTAGCCATGTTCCGAATGGAGGACATTTTGGAATGGAGGGCATGCTTAAAAAAACAACTCCCAGGGATATTAAATTCCTGCTTCTTAGCCATGCTCCAAATGGAGGACGTTATGGAATTCCTCCTGGACAGGAGGACGGGAATGGAGGATGTGTCCTGGGAAAGGAGGGCATCTGGTCACCCTGATCTAAAAAACACTCCCATAATTGTAAATCCCTGGTTCTTAGCCATGCTCCAAATGGAGGACCTGGCGAAATCCCTTCTGGACAGAAGGCTGAAATAGAGGACATAGTAAAAACACTCCCATAAATGCAAATCCATGCTCCTTAGCCATGCTCCAAATGGAGGACGTTTTAGAATCTCTCCTAGACAGGAGGCTGAAGTGGAGGACATGTCCGGGAAAAGGGCAACCTCTGCTCACCGTGAGCTAGAAACACTCCTGTAAATAGTAAATCCTTGCTTCTTAGCCATGCTTCATATGGAGGACATTTTGGGATCCCTCCTGGACAGGAGACTGAAGGGGAGGCCACGTCCGGGAAAAAGAGGGCGTCTGGTCACCCTGAGCTAGAAACACTGCTATAAAAAGTAAATCCCTGCTTCTCAGCCATGCTCCAAATGGAGGACATTGTGAAATCCCTCCTGGACAGGAGGATGAAATGAAGGACATGGCAAAAACAACACTCTCATCAATGTGAGTCCATGCTCTTTAGCCACGTTCCAAATGGAGGACGTTTTGGAATCCCTCCTGGACAGGAAACTGAAATGGAGGACATACTGTGGAGGGTGGGCGAGGTGGAAGGAGGGAAACAAACTCACATCAATGTGCATTCACACTTCTCAGTCCTGCTCCAAATGAAGGACATTTTGGAAATCCTCCTGGAGAGGAGGCTGGAGGAGTGGAGGACACGTCCGGGGGGAAAAAAGGAGGAGGAAGTCTGTTCACCCTGAGCACTCTCTTATTCTTCCTGGAGAGGAGGCTTCAATGTGTGTGGGGTTGGGGGGGGGACATGTCCTGGAAAAGGAGGACCCAGGACTAGGTGGTGTGAGTGTGAGTGTGTGAGTGTGTGTGTCTATGGAGGGAAGGGGAGAGCCCAGCCCAGCCTTCCTGTGTCCAAACCCTGGGGGCTGGCTGACATTTCCTGGGGGGCCAGCAAGGAGGAGGAAGAGGAGGAGGAGGAGGAGGAGGAGGAGGAGGGCTAGGGCAGCCTGCCTCTGGCCAGCTGGCCTCCTGCCTCAAGCTTACCTTCGCCCAGAAGCAGAACCAGAAGCAGAAGCGCCAGCAGCGCGGCTCCTGCAGCTCTTCATGCCCTCCTTGGGGGAGGAGGTGGCACGGGTGGCAAGCCGGGCACCCCTTGGCATTCGCCCTGCCTGCTTCCCTGCCTCCCTGGCTGCCTCTTTGGGGCGGCTGGAGCCCGGTCCCCGCAGGCAGCAGAGCCAGAAATCTCCCCAAATCGCCCTCCTCGCCTGCCTCCTGCTCCTCCGTCCGGCGGCAGGGAAAGCCCAGGCGGCGCAAACCCGGCGGCGCGGGGGCCGCCTGCTGGCCGAGAGGAGGAATGGCACCAGCTACTGCTGCTACTGCTACTGCTACTGCTACTGCTACTGCTACTGCTACTGCAGGAGATTAATAATAATAATAATAATAATAATAATAATAATAATAATAATAATAATAATAATAATAATAATAATAATAATAATAATAATAATAATAATAATAATAATAATGGTAGGTTATTATTATCATTATCATTATTATTGATGTTAATAATTGATGATGATGATGATGATGATGATAATAATAATAATAATAATGGTAGATTATTATTATCATTATCATTATTGATGTTAATAATTGATGATAATAATAACTGATGGTAATGGTAATAATAATAATAATAATAATAATAGATGGTAATTGATGGTAATGATAATAATAATAATAATAATAATAATAATTGATGATGATAATTGATGATAATGGTAGATTATTATTATTATTATTATTGTTGTTGTTGATGGTAATAATTGATGGTAATGGTAATGGTAATGGTAATGGTAATAATAAGAAGAATAAGAATAGGCGATGGTGATGGTGATAATAATAATAGATTATTATAATTGATTATGATAATAATAATAATAATAATAAGTATGCAGTTATATTTCATGCCTACAATTTATATTCTTTATGACTTTATATTTATATTCATATTTTACTGATGTCCATAGGTGTATGTATATCTTCCTTAAGTTCATAATATGTCTATATTTTATGTATTAATATGGATTTGGGAATATGGTCATTTAATATGGTCATTGACCACAATGAAACAAATGAGATGATGATGATGGTGATGATGATGACGATTTCTTTCCTGCCTCTCCTCAAAGCTCCAGGCTGAATTAAAGTAAAGATATTGTCCTGTCAACCCATAAGGGGCGATGCTCATCTCCGTTACTAAACCATGTTCTACAATTCAGTCTTCTGTCCAGCAGGAATTCCAAAAGGTCCTCCATTTGGAGAAAGTCTAAAAAAGCACACTGAGTAGCACCATGTTTGCTCTTCCCCTCTGAGAAATGTATGTACTTGGCAGCCTGTCCTTGCTGCTGATAGAGGGACAGGATGGATCCTTCTAAGATCTTTTTCCCTAGGAACAGCAGCAGACAAGACTTGCCCCAGAGCTCAGGGTCCATTTGTTCCTCAGAGGGGAAAAGGACAGCAAACATGTTAGGCAATGGGCTACTGGAGGACACAATGCAAATGTTGAAAGGATTTTTCCTTAATTTCAGCACAATGGAATCCGGTCAAGGGTTTGTTTGATGCATTTACTTGCTCCAAGTTCTATAAATGTATTGCAAGCCAACACGGCATTTCAAGTTCATCAGAAAAAATATGGCTGAGTACATAATAAAATACAGTATATGTCATATAGCTGTAAATAAACCATATGGAATGAATTTACATTTATAATGTAGTTTTTAGCTTTTAGATTGTAACATCTTTCTTTTTTCTTGTATGTCCTACATTTTGTGATGCCTTGTCCTCCTTTGTGGTTATGACATCTGGACACCCTGGTGGTGTTAAGACCCGCCGCTTTCCCCTTTGAAGCTTCTACTGTACTCACTTTCTCTTTCAAGTTGTTGCTGCCTGAGGCAAAGCAGCAAATGGTGCATCCATCACCTACCCGCTCATCTTGTTATTGTGGGCCTTCAAGTCATTTCTGACTTATGGAGACCCTAGGGCAAACCTGTCTGGGTGACCCTGGGCAAGTCACATGTTCTCAGCCTCAGAGGAAAGCAATGGCAAACCTCTGAACAAATCTTGCCATGAAAACCCCATGATAGCTTTGATTTATGGTTGCCATAAGTGAGAAACAACTTGAAGGTACACAGCAACAGAATAAAACAATTATTTAATAGTATTGTGGCATACTATTAATAGTATGGTGGCATACTGTTTAATAGCATGGTAGCATAGTGGTTTGAGGATTGGATTACAATTCTGGAGACCAGGGTTCAATTCTCAGCTTAGTCATGAAATCCACTGGGTAACCTTGGGCAAGTCACATGCTCTCAGCCTCAGAAGGCAATGGCAAACCTCCTCTGAACAAATCTTGCCAAGAAAACCTCCTGATAGGGTCGTTATCATTTGGAAAGGACTTGAAGGCACGCATATTATTTTATTATTTATTTATTTATTTATTTACTTCACTTGTATGCTGCCTTTCCCCCAGAAGGGATTCAAGGTGGCTCACAGACAAAAAACATGTTAAGAATATCAACACAAATCAAAACAAATCATGGGAGTTTCTTGGCAGGTTTCTTCAGGGGTTTGCTTTTGCCTACCCCTGAGGCAGAGAATATGTGACTTGCCCAAGGTCACCCAGTGGGTTTCCATGGCCGAGCTGGAATTCAAACCCTGGTCTCCAGAATCATAGTATAACACTCAAACCACTGCACTATGCTGGCTCTTGCTCATCTATCCCTCTCCAAAGCCAGCTAGGCTAATGTTGGAACATGAGGAAGAAAAATCTGCCAGCACCTCACCTCTTTTCCGGAAATAAAACCAAACACACACACATACTAAAATGGCAAAGTAAATAGTTTTGTTTTTTCTTACATCCCCATATCAACTACCTAAAGATGCTTCATCTTGCCCAAAGAACATGGCTAGAAGGAGGAGAGGACTGTCTTCCTGAATACGCCTCCATACCATCTGAAGTGAGGACAACAACCACAACATCTTGACAAATGCAGAATTATGACTAACATTTTCTTTCTTTCTTTCTTTTTCTTTTTTCTTTCTTTCTGCAGTATGATTTTTAACAACTTTGCCTGATGAAGAAGCCAGTGGAGCTTCAAAATCGAAAGAGGAATCTAAGAATCTACTATGAGGCATGTTGTTTTATGTGGATGTTGGATTGGTTCCAGTTAAGACACAATGATGCCATTATTTTAGAAAAGCATGAATTAAGATTCGGCTTTCATGCCTATTTATTTTATGACAAGATAAAGGTCAATAAAGATTTTGGTAACCATTTAATCAGGAAAGCCCTATATCATGTTTGGGCAAAGTATAAAGATCGTTTAGGTCAAAAGATACTGTTATGGGCCTCTACAAATGAAGTCCTCTTTAATAGGGAAAGGTTAAACAAGGGCAAATGGATCACATATGAAGACCTAACTAAAATAGACATGCAATCAGGTAAAAGGGTACTACTGTCCCAAGATGATTTGTTGGGAAGAGGTCTTGTGTGTAGTTGGTTTTTATACTGGCAACTCAGAGATAGATT